CCCTCTCTCTGCCCTCCCTCTTTCTCTACCCCCTCTCTTCCTACACCATATCGCTCTCTCCCTCGCTCTTTTTTTTTACTACGACAAGTGCTGCATCTGCACGCAGTCCTTCTCGCAGTCCATCGGCCTCCGACGGGTAGCTCATATCTGCATGCAGAGCTCTCCGTCATCTGCCACCAAGCACACGGCCTCCTCCAGCACCCACTGCTCCATTGAAGACCGGCACGGCGTGGGACAGCCGCGCATGGCGGAACTTTGGCCACACCCTGGTTCCGACCAAAGTGAGGAAGATGCCCAGGCTGCTGGCCGGACGTTTCCCCTCCAGGGCCACCTTCCTCGCCCTGTATATGGCGAGCTTAGCGTAGCCGACGAGCACGTTGACCAACCCCTGAAGATGTTGGGGTCCGTCGCCCTTCGGGTATCCAAAGATGAGGACCGTCGGGGAGAAGTGGAGGCTGAACCTTAGGAGGATGTTTCGAAGCACCTTGAACAACGAGTCCAGGCTCTTGCACTCCACGTATTGGTGCACCACCGTCTCCACTTTACTGCAGAACCGGCACTCCGGGGACGTGTCGGTGAAGCGCGCCAGGGAGACATTGGTGATGACGGTGCCGTGGGCGATGCTCCAGCTGAGGTCGCCGATGCGGTTGTACGTCGGGCTGGAGTAGAGTTGCCTCCAGCGAGGCCTCTCCGGAGAGATGCAGGGCAGGGCTTTCCTCCAGGCATGGTCCTTGTGGCTCCTCAGGGTGTCCTGTTGGTGGAACCGGACCATGTAGGAGTAGAGCACCTTCCTCTTTACATTTGCGAAGGCCACCTCCGATAGGTCTGCCGGCAAAGATCGTGATCCGCCTTCGTTTGTCGGCATTGGCGACGCAGTCGCACGACTGAGAGCTCCGGTGGAGGGGGACCGAGAGAGGCCTTGTCATCCCCAACGCCGATGGGGGGCGTTCTCCCCGCTGCCACTGAGAAGGCCCCTTTGGCTTCGGCAAGGATCCGGGCAGCCTCCTGGAGCGACTGCAGCCCTGTCTTTGCGGCCATCTCGGCCGGTCTGAGCCACCGGCCCCATGTTCCGGGCTCCACCAGATCTCCCATCCTGATGATACGCACATTGGCGAGGCGCCTCTCCATGCCGGGGGTGGTGGTGGTGGATGGCAGCTTTGTCTGCGGGTTCCTGAGGATCGGTTCGAAGACCAAATCCTCGGCCGATCGTGGCTGGTTCAGCCTCCTGAAGGCGAGGGAGCTCCATGCTTGCAGGACGCTCCTGTAGAAAGGTGGCAGCTGTCCCAGTGGGAGGCCCTGCAGGTCCATGTAGAATAGTTGTTTGGGGCACTGCAGACCCCCCAGCTGTTTCAGGAGGAAGGAGGCAGTGACGCTTCAGGCCGGTGCAGGGGCGGTGTTCTCCATCTCTCTCCTTCACTCTCCACCTCACTCCTTCACTCTTCGTCTCTCCTCCACCGCACATCCATCTCTAATCCCCCTTCTCTCACTCCCGCTCCATTTTTCGTCTCCCCCCTCCTCTGCGCCCTGCATCTCCCTACCTCTCCCAGAACACACGCCCCCCCCTTCCGCACCTCCACTCTCGCCCGTCCCAATACCCCCCCCCGCCCCAACCAACCGGGTTCATTCAAACCTCCCGCGGTGCTCGCAAGAGGAGAGGCCACGCGCGGCACTGTCAGAGCCGGCGAGTTGTGCAGGCTGTGCCACCTGCACTGGGGCCCGCGGGCCAGAGGGTTCAGGCGCCAGGGTACGAAGGGGGCCTGGGGGGAGGGGTGCGGAATTGAACTGGGGGCGCCATTTAATTCCCTACACCGGGGTGCACCGTGCCAACCACACTGCGCCACTGACCTACGCGTTGTGCGCGTGTGACGCGTGTGTAGTGTGTCCGTGTGTGATGATGCAAGGCCGTAGCCATGGAGTCAACATTGGGGGGGACGGAATCTCCCAGGGGGTCTGGGAGTCCACCCCCAGAAAAAAAAAATTTGAAAACTCATTTCCTGCCATTTCCTGCCTAAAATAATAAAAAATTCACTAACACATGGGATGGACTTTTTATTTATGTTTTACAATAATGTCTAAGAGTGTATTGTATTACATTGCTGATTTGAAGCTTTCGTGACTGCAGGAATCTATACTCTTTGCTTCTTTCGGTAAAGTCACGGAGGTAGAAAAATAATAGATCACGACGTTAAGATGGGACAACCACAGCAGTTTTTTTTCTTGCTGTGGTTGTCCCACCTGATGACGATTGCTTGTGTTGCGATCGAAACGGCGTGATCTATTATTTTTCTACCTACGTGACTTTATCGAAAGAACCAAAGAGTATTACATTGCTGTTTTTTTCTTTTTTACCATTTGTTGTTTCATTGTGTCCCCCCCAATATATATTATAATTACGGCCGTGTGATGATGCGTTTGCAGTGTGTGCGTGTGTGATGCGTGTGTGCGTGTGTGTAATGTGTGCGTGTGTGATGCAGGCTTCCCAAACTCGAGTCCTCAGGGCTCACAACCACCACCTTACGCAACTAAAGAGTTTGCTTTTAGACTAAACAGTTTGACTTTAGAGGCTAACCCCACCTTTTCCTGATGACCGCTTGTGTTGCGATCGAAACATCGTGGTTTTTGTGTTTTTCTAAATTACTTAAAGAACCAGAATAAGTCTACATTAGACTGCCAGTACGCTGACTTTTATTTTTATTTATTTTTTCTATCTACGTGACTTTACCGAAAGAACCAAAGAATATATATTTTGATTTAAAGCTTTCGTGACTGCAGTAATTCATATCCTTAGTTCTTTCGGTAAAGTCACGTTGAAGGGAAACAACAAAATAATAAAATATATATAAAACAATAAAAATTCTCACGACGTTTCGACCATAACACAAACGGTTGTCGACACACCTGAAGACGACCGTTTGAGTTATGGTCGAAACGTCGTGAGAATTTTTTATTGTTTTATATATATTTTATTATTTTGTTGTTTCCCTTCAACGTGACTTTACCTAAAAAAACTAAGAATATGAATTACCGCAGTCACGAAAGCTTTAAATCAAAAATATATATTTTATTGATTATTTGGCCAGCAGAGGGCAGTAGGTACAGGAAAAGTTTAACAAGTAGGAGGCTTTCGCGACCAATATCATCCATAAAGCAGGTTTTTTTTGGGTTAGACCGCGTAAATAAATAAATGTGTCGTTAAAACCCCCCGCCGCCCGACACAGCCAACTAGTAAGGGTTGTCACGTAAACAGAAAATACCAATTCGTCACTAGTACAGCACACCGGTGTGTTGGAGAGCCCAGCCACAACATTTACAATCCGGGTACGACGTTTCGCCAGTAACTACAACCAGCTTCATCAGGCGACAGCCAGATTTGTGAAGTCCACCTGTCTCGTTCCTCATATAGAGGCGTTGATGTGATGACGACACTTGCGCGCCCTTCTTGCGCAAGAAGTGACAACCCTTACTGATTGGCTGTCGGGTCGTGGCAGCTTTAACGACACATTTATGTATTTACGCGATCTAACAAAAAAAAACTTCGATCATGGAGGTACAACAAAGTTCACGCGCAGTTCGGTGCACGAGGGCGAGGCCACTTGCAGCTACTCACTTTTACACTTTTCCTGTTCTTGCGCCGTAACGTCCACGCCCCCCCCCAATCCGCGCAGTAAACTGTGGTCCTATAACCCTGGCGCGGGCTGGCACGGCCCTCATCCAGCAGTGGATCGGCAAAGAGGTTGTACTGTACTGCGCCGTGGTGGCGAGATGTTAACTACCTCGCCTGGTATGGAGGAGGACGTGAGTTCGATCCCGACCCTCACGACGTCTGTGGCCAGGTCGCTTTTGAAAAAGAAGCTACAGTATAGCTCAGTGGGCCTTTCTTGGTAAAATAAAAAATAGTTTAGTTTATTGTTTTCTCCGAGTCCTCCGGTTATTCCCGCAAGATTTATAAACGTGCGTTTAGAGTATTTGGCTGCTGTAAATGTCCACGTGATAAGCAACTTCTTTGAGCTATCATTTGTGGGCATTACCTGGTAAAATACAAAATTTAAAATAAAGCAATAAATATGAAAATGATGTGCTCATGTTAGCTGTAGGCAATTGAGGTGAACAGAACAAACAAGACACACAAGCAATACAAATGAGGCGGTACAAATTACACGGCAGATAATTAATTCTTGCATCAAATCGTCACCCTGCCTTCATCGAGGGAATTAGTCGATCAGCTGGGTCCAACAACTGAACGATCGGTTGCGCACAACCAAGTTGCACGCGGACCTCTGCTAACCCAGCGGAGACGACAGAGTCAGCTCTCTCTCGCGTCGACCTGCTCAGCCAATCGGAGCGAGGCGTACCGTCGTCGTCGTCGTCACGTGACACATTTTTGTGAACTATGAACGGTCGTCATGATCGCGAATCACGACCGCCGTGCTATTTCGTCGTCGCACCCAGACGTGGACACAGTGGTGGCAAGCGGGCGGACGGGCGATCTCCACGCATTCAACTCAAGGCACGTTGATGTCGGTTACCCAGGGGCGGATCCGGCGCCACGCTCAGTCGTCACCCGTTTAACGAACCCGCCGTACTCGGCAGACGTGGCCAAGCGTTCGTGCGGTTGCACTTTATTCTTTTGAGGTTTTCGCACTTTGGATTCTGCCGGCCGCCCCGATTATAACTGCGGGTGGGTGTAACAGCCGCGACAAAGAGTACACGCCGTTTGATTCACTCAAAGTGGATGCTAAAGATCCAGTGACGTCAAACGGCGTGAGGGTCAAAGTAGAAAAATTGGCACATTACACCGCAAATTTCCAAACTTGCCGAAATCGAAATTTACACCGCAGATTACTCAATGAGGATTACACACACAGCACCAGCAATAATCGCCGCCCGGTACTAGCAGCCAAATGCATCACGGTCACGCTTGCAGATGAGACTCAATCCTGGTCCCTTGAGTTTTCACCGGGCCACAGCAAAAAAAACAATAAACTAAGCTACAAGCTCACATGGGGAAATCTTCATCCTGCCACTCCTCCTTGAACTCGGCTCCCTCCAGCAGCATCGCCGCCGCCGTCCCCGCTTCTCTGCGCACCGCAGCCAACACAGACGGCGGATTTCACACGCTCATCGCTCCGTCAATCAACCCACCACGCTGGACGAAGGTCGTCCACTCCCCCCCCCCCCACGCCGTATCAGTCGGGGGGGGGGGGGAGTTGCTTGTCCATACTTCATCACGCTGGTTTAGGGGTGGGAATGGGATGTGCCCCGAGGACCTGCTGCAGACATCACTCTCGCCAACTGATGTCAGCCGCTCGAGAATGGACCGGGGGTCACCGGGGTCGTAATTTTGACCCTCCTCCTCGTAGATAACAACACCCTAAAAGTCGTGCGGTTGCATTTGTTTAAATTATTTTCCTTGCCGCGGTCCATATTTCTCATCCATACGTTACAGCGTTGCAATACGCACCGATGGAAAACTTTCCTCTCATGGGTCGCTTCGTTTCATTATCAAAAGAACTCCGGCTTGCTCCGGGCCGCTCACATTCTCCTCTCCGCTTCCTCATTTTAATCCCGATCCGCCTTGAATAATCTTGCCCCTGGCATCCATGATCGCACGTGTTCCCGAAGGGCACGCGTCTTTTAGCCTGCACGCTTCACTCGGCGACGCAAGATCTGCCTGCAGTAGCCGGGACGCGGCTGGACAAAAAACATAAACAATCTTGAGTCGATTAGTGGAATTAGTGGGAGGCGAGAGCCCAGATCACCCGCGCAAAATGAGACCGCATCTTGGTCTCTTGAGTTCGCCCCTGGGTAACCGACATCAACGTGCCTTGAGTTGAATGCACGACAGACACAAGCAGACCGTATCGCCACTCCCTCTGTTTAACGTTTGTTTTAAAGTGTCGTTAACGTCCGGTGCGTCCTGCCTTCCCCCAGAGTTTTGTATGGGGGTGCCCCCCCCCCGGGCCCCCCCCCGGTGCCCCCCCCGGTGCCCCCTCCCCAGTGCCCCCTCCAGGTGTCCTCGCCACTGCCCCCCCCCCCCGCTTTAATCAAAGTGACGCACAGATTTGCCGCCCATCCTCATCGTTCACCGATCATCCGCTGAGATCGATCTCACCCCCTCCTGTAAAACATCCTCGTGGCGACGTACCCCCGATCTCTTCTCTCAAACAATCGAACTTCAAAAGGCCCGTCTCGCAATCCGGAAGATATGCTCGTTGTTGTTATTATTTTGCCGCGTGGCATTAAACCGGAGTGCCCGGAGACAACCTGCTCCACCCCCCCCCCCCCCTCCGTGAGTAGGAAAACGCGAGCAGAGATGCGGCCTCACCTCCGATCCCACGTCTCCTCGCCTGATGCGTCGCCCTGGCCCGGCGCATCGCTCCCGGCGGCAGCGTCGCGGCGCGGCCGCTCCCACCCGCCACGGGGGCCCCCACCGCCCACGTCATCTCCGGCCCATGCGGCCGCGGTGCTGTCCCCGGCCGCCGTGATCCCAGTTGCGATCCCATCCGTGATCTCATCCGTGATCCCGGTCGCAATTCCATCCGTGATCCCGTCTGTGATCCCGTCCATGACGCCATCCACGGTCCGATCCACGATCCCACCGGTGATTCCATCCGCGATCCCACCAGAACTAATATCCACGATTCCATCAGCGATTCCGTCCGTGCCGCACGTCAAGTAGAGGTATCTCAGGAGGTCGCCTTTATCGTCCTTGAGTTGGCGGCCGTGGCGGTACGGTCTACCGCCTCCTCCCCCTGTGGATGTTGAGTCCACTTCCTCAGACTGTTTGAGGTCCTCATCCTCCTCCTCCTCCCTCTCATCATCATCATCATCTCCTTCATTGTCGGCATCACCACCATCATCGTCATCACCGTGGCTGTTCCTCCGCGCAGGACTCCACTCGCGTCGCTCCGCAGCGGCGGCCGCGTGGGCGATACCTCCGCCACAATTGCTCATCCCGACATCGTCCACGCAACTCCCGTCCTCCTCCTGAGCGTCACCCCTCGTCGGGGCTCTCTCCTCTTCGCCGGCCGTCGCGAGAGAGCGCTCGCCTCGTCGTCCCCGGGCGCTCGACCCGCGGTTCGATCCATCGAGGCCTTGGGTCTTCGGACGGCGGTGGAACCGGGCCGGCTCGGTGTCCGTGGTGCCGCCGGCGCCATCGTCGCCGCGTCTGTGGAGTCCGGCCTGGAGGCTCCTCCTGCCTTCTTCCTCTGCGAGCTCCATACGGACCTCCCCTCCCAGGCTACGCTATGGTCACAAAAAGAGGAGGTCTATTACAGAAATCGCTCCGGCGTTGCAGATTCAGCGGCGGAAAGAACCTGCACCTCAAGTGGCGTGCCAGTTCACGTCCACAATAATCCAGTCTTGTGCGCGCTCACGGACAATTATTTCCAAGCCAGTTAATGTTGACATTTTAAAAAAATATCTGTTCAAAAATAGTTATGGCCAGCTCCAGCACCCGATGCGATAACAACACAATGGTGACGATCAGAGTCGCAACTTCGGTCTATAACGTGGACTTGACACTTGCGAGCTTATCAGAATGCAGCTTTCGAGCCACAGAGTTAACATGTGCGTGACTCGATCAGCAGCGGCACAGGGGGAGTGTGACCGGATACCTGAATGCGTGTGGCCGTGTGTCCGAGTGCGTGTGGCAGTGCGTGTGGCCGTGTGTCTGAGTGCGTGTGGCAGTGCGTGTGGCAGTGTGTCTGAGTCCGTGTGGCAGTGCATGTAGCCGTGTGTCCGAGTGCGTGTGGCCGTGTGTCCGAGTGAGTGTGGCCGTGTGTCCGAGTGCGTGTGGCTGTGTGTCTGAGTGCGTGTGGCAGTGCGTGTGGCAGTCGTGTGGCCGTGTGTCCGAGTGCGTGTGGCCGTGTGTCCGAGTGCGTGTGGCCGTGTGTCTGAGTGCGTGTGGCAGTGCGTATGGCGCAGCTCGGGAAGTGGGTGCTCCCGTATCTCGCTTGGCCGCGCTTCCCGTGCGCAGCAGCGGTGGCTGCGAGCGGCGTGGCGTGGCGTGTCGCATGATTCAGCAGAGTGGATTGTGCTTCCTGCCGGTCGGCTGGAGCACGGGTACACACACACACGGGTACACACACACGGGTACACACACGCACGGGTACACAACAACAACAACCACCATTTGCCACTAAGTGGTGGTGACGTCACCATGACGCTTGTGCCAGGCTATGTGCATGTTGAGGCTACGTGAAGTGTCGAACGCCCGCTGGCAGGAGGTCACGGGGCAGACCCAGGTGACACGGGTCGACTGACTGAGATGACTGGCTGATGCACCACCTGTGCCCCCTACTGTGCCAACCTGCTGTGCTGTAGTCACCCGGCGTTCCGCTCGTTGTTGTGAGCGATGCTCCTCCGCCCTCCGTTGTTGTTGGAGGGCGACTGCCTCCAACTGCCCAGGAGCAGTGTCCTTCACGAGCCTCCTCCACAGAGGCGGATCTTGACACCACTGGTACCAGTCATCGGCAAGTGCACTCAGCTCCACATCCTCCTGTACCACATCACTCCATTTCTTCTCTAGCCCATGCTGTGCCCGTTTAGCCTCCTCTATCTGGCCGAACAAAAGCTGTTTCGGCATGCGGTGGCGGGGCATGTGGGCTACATGACCCAGCCAACGCATCCTTGCCTGCTGGATGAGCTCACCAATGGGACTTTGTCCAGATCTTTCAAGAATTTGTGAGCTCTCACACAATCCAGTCTGGTTAAACCCAGGATGGATTGTAGGCAGGCCAACCTAAATGTTTCTCACCGGCGAAGATGTTCAATTAGGGGGGTCCACGTTTTGCAAGCATAGAGAAGGGAGGGAATGACCATGGCCGAGAAGACCTGAAGCTTCGTGCGGAGCGACAGACCAGGTACCTTCCACACAGCGTGGCGCAACCGATAAAAAGATAATGCCGCTCGACTGATTTGGAGTGAAATCTCTGCTGTTAAACCGGAGCCAGTCATGAGCACACTGCCCAGCTATGGGAAACTCTCAACTCTCTCCACAACTAACCTATCACCAATTGTGAGTTGTTGGGGTGGAGTATCCGATGATACAAAACACCCAAGCAGGTGCTTAGTTTTGGTGGAGCTGATGGTAAGGCCCCACCTCTTAGTGGCAAGCTCCAGGTTCAGCAGCAGTGCCTCCAACTTCTCCTCTGAGTGAGCAGCAATTACCATATCATCGGCATACATAACATGGTTGACAAATATGGAGCTATCCCTTGACTGCACCCGGGCATCGATCAGCCTCCCATTGAATATGTACCGGATGGAAATTCTTCTGGTACAGCCATCGAAGGCTTCACGAACTACGTGGTCAAAATACAGTAGATGTTAAATAATGTGGGAGCCAGAGGACATCCCTGTCGCACCCCAAGGTGAACAGGGAATGGCTCTGACTCCCAGCCACGTAGTTTTACCCGGGCCCACTCACCATCATGAAGGTCCTTAATGATCATGAGCAGAGAGTCAGGGACTCCGAAAGCACGAAGAACAACACAGAGCCCAGGCCCACTGATGGCCTTGACCAGGTCAATAAAGCAGAGATGTAGGTTTGTTGGAATTCCCTACACCACTGCTGTAGCAGACGGACAGAATATATGGCTTCTGTGCAGGACCGCCCTTTCCTGAAACGGCATTGGGGCTCCGCAAGCCTCTCCTCAGTGTGCCTGGCAAGGCAATGTTGAATCATCCTTGCCAGGACCTTTCCTGGCACACTGAGGCATGAGATGCCCCTGTAGTTATTACAGTCTGAGCGGTTCTCCTTCTTGAAGAGGGGGCCACCAGGGGATCCTTCTAAACCTGCGGAACCCATCCAGTAGTCAAGACTGTTGTCATGATGTCATGTAGGGCATTCTGTGCACAAACGCCACCCTTCCTCAGCATTTTGCTTGGGAGATCATCTCTACCCGGTGCCTTTCCTGGTCTCAGACTCTGGATCGCCTTCAGTACTTCCTCAAAAGATGGCACCTCAGCCAGCCACTCACAGGGAGTAACTTCTTCCAATATTTGAGGCACCGCAGCCTTAGCAGGGTCATCCCCACTTTGTCTCACGATGTTTTCCTGGCTGAGGGATTTCCCCTCCCCTAGGACCTCACAGAAATGCTCAGAAAATCTGCAAACCTGTTCCTGGGGGTCAGAGATTGGATCACTGTTCTTTCCCCTAATTATGGTAATAGGTGTGGTGCTGCAAGTTACTTTTTGATAGAGTTAAAGAGCGATTTGTGATCACAGGCAGACTCCATCTCCTAAGCAACCCGCAACCACCACCCATCCTTGCAGAGCCTCACGGCTCTCTGAACCTCCGAGCGAAGGCTGCGGTAAGCCTCCTCATTCTTTAATGTAGGATGCTGTAGACGATGAGAGTGGGCCTGTCGCTTTTTCTCAGCCAGCCTGAACATCTCCTCTGTCAGCCAGGGTCTCTGGGGAGGTCTGGACCGTGTACCCAAAGCAGCCATTGAAGCTGCATGAGCCACAGTCCTATACCTTGCCTCGGCATCAGGAGTGGGGGACGATGCCAACCCCAGCTGCAAGCAATGATGAAATTCTTGTTTGCAACTTTCATCAGCTAGCTGAGACCAGGCCACTATGGGTTTGAATGGGGTCTTGGGTGCACACCCACCACCAGAGTGGAAGAATAGCAAGTGCATCTTACAGATGACAAGTCGATGCTCAGTGGGCAGATCAGCTCCACGGGAGGTCCTGGTGTCAAGGACATGGGCCCGCATCCACTGTTCCGTCACTATATAGTCCAGCAGATGTTCTTGCTTGGACCCAGCATGCATCCATCATGTGTGGATGCGCCGATGCCGGAACAGCGTGTTGGTAATTACAAGCCCATGGGCTGCACAAAAATCTATCGGCCTCCTACCGTTGTTATTGAGCTGATCTGGCCCATGCCTTCCAATCACTCCAGACCAGGTGCCAGCATCATGACCAACTCGGGCATTGAAGTCGCCCAACAAGATGACTCTATCCCGAGGGGCCACTTTAGCCAGCACCTGTGACAGGAGGTCATAGAAGGCATCTGACTCATCGGCCTTGCCTGCATCACTCCATGGATGTTCGTCTTCGGTGGAGGCATGAGTAACCACGACCACCACTCCTCACCTCTGGTTGATGGGAAGGCGAGCCCAAAGTAGCCTGGGGCTTACAGCTTCCCACATCTCACCGCCACGCTCCCACGACCCCTTCATTCTTTTGTTCAGAAGAAGAGCCACTCCCTGTTGTTTGGCTGTCTCCTGCCCCGAGTAGAGGACTGTCTACCCCTCATGGTGGCAGGAGCCAGAGCCGGTCCACTTGACCTCCTGAATACCACAGAGATCCAGGCGGTACCGGTCCTGCTCCCAACAGATGAGTGGCAGCCTCTCCTCCGCAGTGAGCGTTCGAACGTTCCACGTGCAGTGGTTTTTTGTTGTTTGTGGAGGAGCCCCGAGGGTAAGGATTCAATCTCCTGGCTCCGCCAAATGGGGTTTGGCCAGGAGGCATCAGAGACGCTTGTCCCACACACACACACGGGTACACACACACAGGTACACACATGGGTACAACAACAACCGCCATTCGCCACGAAGTGGTGGTGACGTCACCAGGCCATGTGAGGCCAGCCTGAACACACATTGGTACACAGACACGGCTACACACACACACGGGTAGATACACACGCACGAGTAGATACACACACGGGTACACAAAGACAAAGATCATCCGTATAGCCTGGACAGACTGTTGGGGCAAGTGCTTTAAGCGAGCACCTATGAAGGCCGGAACGGCACACGAGGGGGTGGGTGGCCAGCACCACGCCCAGCCTCCTTTATCTCCCCAGTGGCGATGTTCACACACCGCACCAGGTACTCATTTGAGGCTAAGTCGACCTCGGGGAATCCCAGGACCGGTTCAAATAATCGTCACTAGTGTTAGCAGGTCAGCGGAAATCAAACGCAGGTCGCCGGATTTGTAGCGCAGCACGCTAACCACTACACCACCACTCCCCACACACACGGGTACAGACACACGCACACACAGAGCATGAGTACATACACACGGATAGACACACGCACACACACACGGATAGACACCCACGCACGGAGCACGGGTACACCAATACCCAACGCCATTCGCCACGAAGTGACGGTGACGTCACCACGGTGCCTGTGCCAGGCCAGGTGCACTTTGAGGCTCGCTGGCAGGAGGAGGTCACGGGACAGACCCTGCAGGTGCCATGGGTTGACTGACTGAGATGGCTGGCA